AAATGAAATTTTAAAAATTTTTTTTTTTTTTTTTTTTTTTTTAATAAAATTGTCTGATTTCAATTTAACCAGAGTGTCCCAACACGTCTGCTTAAAAATCGACATATTCTCCTGCCGCACACTTTACAGGACCACCGCGTAGGTAGAAATGAATTCACGAAAGTATTTGGGGTCGATAGAAAGCGGAGACGATGTTCGCTTGACGATAGAAAGGAAAAAGTGTGACGCTGATTCGACTCTTTACAATTTCAAAGATAAATTCGTAGAAAATTTCGGTCAGCTTCAGCGAACAAATGTATGTAAATAAAAGTCAAAGCAATTTTCAACCTTCGTCGAATAAAAATGCGTACAGCGTGTTATTTAAAACGTTCCAATAAAATAAACGAAGAAAACGAAATTCTCGTAAATTCCAAGAGAAAACTTGATATTTCTTCAAATTTCTCCGCACGTTAAACATCGCTGTAATTAAAATTTACCCGAATTACTTCGTCGAACGTAAAGAATAGAGTTTTCACGGCGATCCGCCGAAGATCGAAGATCTTTCCGTGGAAACAAAATGTGCAAAAGTGTGTTAAGCAAGGAAGGTGAACAAGTTTCGATAATCCCCGATGCAGTTTCACGAGAAGATGATCATTCGAGGCACGAGCACGCTGCTCGACTTTCCATTCCGCGCACCGAGACGGGAATACCTACTTAGGACGCCTCCTAGAAAAGATGTTCCGGAATCGGTGACTCGAACGAGTTCTAACACTATCGTCGATCCACGAACAGACTATCAATGCTCCAACAATCATTACCCAACGACAGAACGTACGAAATTTCCCCGTCAAATAGAAGCGTACACAGCAGAGCAGCATTTCGAGAGATCCTTCAGCCCAGCAAGTAAATCTCGATAGAAGTTCCCAATTTCTACAAAGAAACGAGAAAAATCTCCACGCGGTATCCCGTAAATAAGAAAAAGAAAACACTCTATCCGCAAGGATCGACATTCGAAACACTGTCAACAAGCACGTGGTAGCAAAGCACGTGTACCAATTAGAAAAATCTCGATCCTATAGAACAAAATTCAACGTGAATTTCTCGAAGAAGAAGCGGAAAGAAAATTACAACTTCCAACTTAACAGATCAATCACTGGGCTTCTGTATCTCTTCACGTGCGTATTATCAACCAGAAGTATCACAATTTTTCACAGGTTACACTTTTACAAAGACACGAGGTGAAGAATATCGAGAAGATGATCGAACCACTGACCAGGCTGAATCGCATCTTCCCGAGCTTGTGGGGGTGTCGTTCACCACGCGAAGACGAAGAAAATACACGGCAAAAAGGCCGCCGCCTTTTATTTCCTCTTTTTCTTTTTTCGTTACGGTTCGTCACTTCTCTGACGAATTCCTCGTGGCTACGGGGCCTTTTATAGCGAATGTTTCCTCCGCCTAGACGGCTAGTTGCCCTAAGCATAGGAGACACAAAGGAGCGAGAGAGGGGTAACCATGAGCGGCTGTTCGCGATCGTATACGGGGGTCCAAGCGGCGCTACATCCTCGATTCTCACCGCTGGAGGGAAAAAAAGGCCGAGGAGTCGAAGGTAAAAGGGGCATTTAGCTGCTCATCGGCGAGCTAGACGCGAAGAGACGTGGATCTTTTTTCTTTTTTCTTCTTCATTGTTCGCGACCGTGTATACAACACGAATGCTTCCCACGTGAACGCTTTCGAGAATGGTAACAAGTCATTGTTGCTTGTCGAGCTTCGACGATGGCCTTTCTCGACGTCTAATTAAACGGAGAACCGCGTGAAACTGGAGTGCAACTTTAGCTCTCGACGCGATCTTGAATTCATCGGCCTTCGGTGCATTGGGAAGTAGTGTCCTTTCTGTTTTCCTTTTTGAGAGATTCGGTGCCTCTTTTGTAGGGTAAATTGTCGTCCATAATTTTCGCCAATTTTATCTATTTTCTTTGACTTTAATTGTACAATAATTGAAGTTAAATTTATAGCAGCTAACTTTAATTCTAGTTTATTACAGAGACAAATTGAAAAGTGAGAAAACGATAGGAAGAGAATTGTAAGTAAATAGAAATAGAAGAAGAAAAATACAAATACAGCGGATTCCGGTAAACACATTCGGGCCGGACTAATTTGTCCCAATTAAGCGACTGTCCCAAAAAAGCGAATAAAAACGATTTATTGAGAAACGTATGTAATATTCGATATTGAATACAAATGTGTGTTTAACCAGTTAACTGTGGAATTTAGTTTTAAAAATACCTCACGGGATGCGGAATTAAAATCAAGCAACGACGAGTATACACGTCGAACGCAGAGCAAATGCTCCTGTTATAGATTTGACGAAAGAAGTAAAGCAAAACGAGGAAGGATTACATTTCTATTCGATAAAAAATTAACAATTCATTGTTGAAAAGGTTGTTATTAAAAACTTAGAAATTGTCGAAAAATAATAAAATTCATAAACAAGAAAAATTAAAGAAAAAAATAATTTTAAGAAATTCGGTTGATTTCAGTGTGGTATTCGAAGAATACCAGATGCATCGGGGAAAATAATCAACTCAGTTTGTAAAAAGTAATACATTGTACGGGGATAATCCGATATACAAAGAGAATAATCAAACTTTTCTCTATAAAATACATAGCAGTTTCATTGGTAATATAAAGGAAACATGCCACCAAATGACATTTTTATTACTTCTTATTGAAATTTCGAGTTTTTATAGTAAATGGTAATTTTTGATTTTACACGACGAGTATACACGTCAACCGCACCGAAATAAAGTTTTCGATTGACGTGTACACACGTCGAACGCAGTTAACTGGTTAAGGGGGTCTTCTATGTGACGGTTTCAAAAAATCGATTTTTATTTTTTTTTTTTTGCATATATCGAAAGTACAACTCTTTAAGAATGCACTCCTGAAGTTTTATAGTTGTATTCGATAAAATAACGAAGTTATAGCTGGTTTAGTGTGACACATCATGGGAGAATCTAAATTGCACTGAAAACTTTAAACGCGTCTTTCTCGGAACCATGTTTTCTGAAATGGTTGCCACGATCTGGCAAAAACTACCGAACCAATCGAACTCAAATTTGGCACATGTCTTCAGAACATGTGTGGCTATGGTCGGTAGTAGAATTATGCCAAAATATATATTTCTCTGATTTTTAGAGCCTCTGAAAGACGAAAAAAATCGAAAAAATCGATACTTCGTATTCAAAGTGCCGCCATTTTTTTAATTTTCAATATTTTTCTTTTATTCTACTAGCGACCATAGCGACATGCATACTAAATAAGAATCAATTGGATTTTTTGATTTCTGATAAGCAGAACAGCTCCACCATGGACCTACTTTTTTTTTTCATGCTCCTGTTTGACGTGTTCCACAGTAGCCATATTTAATTATTTTTCGACAAAAAAAATTTGTAATGATTCTTCAATGGCAAGTAAATACATAGGAATAAAGCTCGTGTTAATAACTGTTACCGTACTTCTGTAATAAATTAGCAAAGAAGGCCTAAAAAAACGGCCGTCACACTTAGAAGAGCCCCTTAAGCATGCAGACAAAGCTAACAATAAGTAATAAAACACTGACAAGTAATCAAAAATAAGTAACTAAACACGTATTTATATTCCGCTCTTCGGTATCTGTCCCAAATAAACGGCGGTCTCAATTAACCGGAATCCACTGTATGTAACTGTAGTTAGAGAGAAGTTAAGAGAAATGTTAAGAAAAGTGACGAAGAATAAAGAATTTGGCGGCGCGTTTGCAGACTAAGCGTAGATTGGGAGGGAGCAAAGTGTCGAAATAGGCGAGACGAATGAATTTTGTACTTTCATTAACTCAACTTCCAGTAAAGAAGTTCTTTCTTTCCCATTTTCGTCCAAAATTAGCAAGTGTTTGGCAACTTACGAACGTGTGAGATATCATTTTGAAAGATTCAGAGTACAATGAGAACAATGAGCCTTGGAGGAAGTGGTAGAAGAGTACGAAGCTTCGAATACACGCATCGAAGACCAATTAACACTGCGGCGGCTCGGTTGGTTCACCCGGTGAGATAAGCCAGCCCCCCCGAATGCTGGTATTCAATTGTGAAGAGAAAAGGACGTTGTACTATACTCGTGCGTTTATTTGCTTTCACTGGTAGTACAGTTAAAACGTTTTATGCAATCGCTGCTACCCACTGGATCTTCGATTTGCATGTAATCCCGGGAAAGCGCTGAAAACGTCCACAGTTACAAAACAGTAGAAACGCGTTCTATTGTGGTATCGTTCTTTCTCCTGTCAGTTTCATTCATCTTATACCTCGTAACAGGACGAAAATATCCTTGGAATTTCCCTTTCGCGCGAAAATCGACCTTACCGTTTATCATCATTTTCATTCTCGTTACCTATTTCGATAATAGAGGGAGTTCCCCTAGCGCCGGACACTTGAGGTTTTTCTTAAATAAATCTCTCTACCTGTGCACACGCGACTGAAACGCGTAGAAAATTTACTTTTATTCGTTTTGTCTCCTAGGAGATACGCAGAATAACGGCTCCGTAGCGTTTCAATTATTGCAGATATAACTAATGTCCGATATTAGGTGCCGTCCGGCGTTAAGGGAACTCCCCCTGTTGGATGACTGCAGAAGTTCGTGCCCGTTTTGAAAATAAAACACAATCGGTGTGCGCAAAAGCGTATTTCATTTGAGACTGTAAAGTAAAATACAAAGGGTTAACATCTTTGCCGAAGTCGATAAGGTCACTCGCACCTCTGAAAATCGAGCTAGAACTTTTGCCATTATCTGACACAATTACGCAGGATGAAAATGTGCTTGCAATTCTTTCATTGTACGAAAATGAATATTAACCTTTTGCACTCCAGTGGCGCTATTACGGCGACACGCTTAACTACTTTGGAGAACTTTAGAAAAGTAAAATTCAAGTTTTTCGATATTATTGAAACAATGCACATTGAAACGAGAAAAAGAAATAAATAAATTCATAAACAATAGACATTCTTTTTCCAAAATGAAACTTAGAGCTTTCGAAAGTTTCACTGCAAAAGTATACTAGAATTGCTGATTAATTCTATCGGTAAATGCTTGGAATACAAAGGTTAACGTTTGTCCTTATCTTTATTACAGTTACAGGATAAGAATGTGCTCGAAATTCTCTTATTGTACAAAATTGAATATTAACCTTTACTCTATTTTTATTTTTATCACCTTTTTCAACAGTACAATTACGCGGGATAAAAATATGCTTCAAATTATTTTATTGTACGAGAATAAATATTAACGAATATTTACTTTATTTTCATTTTTATTACTTTTTCTGTTATTTCAAGTATTACTATCATTCTCTAAAAAAAAGAAAAAAAAAAGGTAACACTTTCGACGAACGAAGGTTTCCATTTCCCAAATTCCGAAGATTCCCGGCAACGATCGGACATAATTCTCCTCGCAGAGAAACTTCGTTCGGATCTCCCACGTGGTGGGCCTGGTTGCCGAGATTTCGTTGCCCAATCCGAGAATCACCCTACACACGGACCGCGGTCTTTACGCAACGAAGATTAGATGCAATGTGAGAGTTGCCGCGAACGAGGAATGGGAACGAAATTATCGGCCGTGCTCCGTATAAAATATTAATGACCCTCGCGAAATTTGCTTACGTGTTGTGGAAACTTTGCACGGTTCGCGGTGAAACTCTGCTCTCCGTGTATCCGTATTCCGCAGAGAAGACCGAGGAAAGAGAGAAAGAGATGCTCGAAATTGAGAGAAAGGGAAGGAGAAGAAGGAAAGACTCGCGCGTTCGAGGATCGAACATTTCGAGAGAAATTTCCACGTTCACGAATATCCGTGTCGTGTACGAAATTTGATTTACACCGAGTTTACGTTCTTTCTGGATCCCCGAAGCGAGGAGGAAGACAGGAAGGGACGATCGCTTTCGGTTTGGGACGTCGAGGAATTAAGATCGAACGATCGAATCGGAAATTCGGAGAGGAATTTCTAACCGAACATTTAATCAACCGATAATTATTGTAATTTATGTTAAGTAAATGGAAATCCTAATGTCCCGACACTTTGTAAGAGATTAGTATCCTTCTTCTTTTTTCTTCTCTATCGAGATTCGCGTAGGTAAGACAAAATGGCACAAACGCCGCAATTCGATGCGACACGAATTATTCGAATAATTTACGAACGTGCTTCGAACTTTGTGATTTGACCTACTGCTACCGTGCTTCTTTCTCTTCTCTTCTGTCACAATCGTTCCCCTGT